GGATGGATGGATGGATGGATGGATGGATGGACGGACGGATGGATGGATGGAAAAACTGCAACTTTTTGCAAACATTCTCAATAAACCCAGTAATTTATCAACAATGTCAAATGACCAAAATAATAGAAAAAACGACTCATCTTATAAAACAAAGGGTCCAGAAATGTCACATTTAGAAGAGAACATAAATATTTCAGGCGACACAACAACACACTAAAAAGCTCTTCATGTTTTGTTCTGTTTTTAAAATGTTCTTTTAATGTCCTGTTTCCTAAAACGTCATGTTTTGTGAATGATTCTTTCTTTCTGCTTCGTTGTTGTGTTTCGTCTGAAACAGACATTTTTTTTGTTCCTCTCATCCACTCCACAGGTCAAAGAGGAAAGAAACAAGCAAACGTGCAGAAAAGCTTGATTAGATAAGAATATGGTTTAATATATATATATATATATATATTAAAAGGGCAGCTGACGAGTGATGTATCAGTTTATGTCAACAGAAGCCAGAATCAGAACTCCTACACATCTTTAAACTCTCTTAACAACCTCTGTAAGTGTATTTGCTCTGATTTGTTCAGTCTTTAAACAGTGCCATCATCCCTGTTTGCTCTTTATGTTTCTATCTCCGTTCTTTCAGCAACATCCTTCTGTCTCTGAGTTCTCCTCCAAGTTTCATTCTACCTCATTCCAATTGATTTTTTCCATCTCTATTAAGCCCTCCTATATTTCAGCGTCTGCGTGCGCCTGAAGAAACCCTTCAAATCCTTGACAGAGGTCCCTGGCTGGCTCTGATCCCTGCCTGCGGCCGACAAGATGCAAGTAGAGAAGGAGCAAGAATGAAAATTTAATAGACTGCTACATTGAAGGAGCAAATCTGTCTTTATTTTTATTTTTGCCTCCGTAGTCTTCCATGTCCCCTAACTCCACAAAATAAGACAATTATTCTATGTATTCTCCATCATCTTCCTGTGACATCACAGATTTTCGGTTTATTTCTTCACTCCCGCAGAACTCTGCTGATTGTTTCCCTCTCACGACAAAAGCTGTGGTTGAAAGAAGAAGAAACGATTAAGCATCACCTGGAGCAGGTAGCACCACCGGCTTTCTTTCCTAATTAAACAAGTTACGCAACAGAGGAGTTTCCACATGGCTCTAAATAACCCGTGGCAGATACTGTGACGCCTGGAGACAAGTCCATTTGGAAACAAACAATTTGGTTTTAGGCCTGCCGAATGATTTGTGCGGCTGTCAGATCTTCCTGCCACTTCCTTTAATCCACTTTTGGAACTGTCGAGTTTTCCCATCTTCACAAATGATGTTTTTCATCTCCATCTTCAGATTTTGTCTGTGTTGAAACCCTTATCTTGCTGTCTTTGGGTGCCAGTATGAGCTGTGGGAGGACTAAACCTCACTCTGGATGGCTACTGAGAGGACTTGTATGTTTGTGTACATCTACAATATGAATGTAATGTGTGTTCAGGTGGGGTGGCAGATTCCAGACTTGGACTTATTTACAGACTTGGCTGCTGCAGCAGAGAGGAGGTCAACATATGAATTTTCTGGTGTTTCCGTCTTGCTTCACCATTGAGGTGTTAAATGAAGGCATTGTAAGGAGCTCCAAACGTCTGCTGGCAATGAGGGACACTCAGCAGTCACCTCGAGTGTTGTATGAAGTGAGAACTGGGATCGTGTTGCTGGTAGTCTGAGGTCAGTGAATCATAGGCCGGTTTTGGAGCTGCTGAGACGATATTTTCATCTCTGTCACTCTGTCAAGGAAATGAATACAGAAGGTGGAAGAGTTTCTAATGGCAAACACTTAAATCTATCATTAAGAGCTTTAAAAGTCAAGTTGTAAGAAAAGGTTATGAACAATCAATATCTTAATTGCTATAGATAACTGTGAACAAACAGTTTGCAGAAATAGAGTTTAATTGACATGGCACTCATGGTAAGATTGCTCTGCCTACATGGAAATGTGACCCAGAGTGAGCTAACCGCCGACATACAAACAAGATACCTGTCACAGTGGAGGTAGTGAAGCTCACGGCGTGACCTGATGCTTTCAACGAGGAATTTCTGCCTTACAGTTAAATTCAGTAAGAGTGTAAAGTTTACATTACACAACCTATTAAACGCTTTGTGCGAAATCAGTTTAGTTTTAATTGATCATAACAAACAAAGACTTATGCAACCAGAAGTTACAACATATATCTACATATAAAACACACAAAACAAAGCACAACTAGCTTTAAGCATTAACCTTTAATTTAACCATTCATCATACAATGTAATTATGACAAAAAATTAAAGATTTACATGTAGTTACCTTTGTACAGATGAACATGCAGTAGTTTATAACTGTTGTATTCAGCTGCTTATGAGGATGACCGCCGGCCTTTATACACCTTTTACTTTTTTTCAGGCTTTGTTAAGGCTTTGGAAATTGAATGAACTGTATTCCACCCTTTAAACCATATTTGTCAAACTCAAGGCCCAGGGGCCAAATGTAGCCCCCCACTGACATGTTATCTGGCTCCCAAGATGTTATTTTCAATGTAAAATACTTTTATCGCTTTAATTTTTTTCAGTAATCTTTGATTATGATGTCAAAAGTGCAATGGAAAATGTCAAATGAGACCAACCAAACTCCTGCAACCAAGAAAAGATGTTGGGTATCTAACTTGAGTTAATGTAGATTCTGAAAATGGCCCTTAGTTTGAAAAAGGTTTTAATTTTGACCCCTTTTTAAGTGGGTTTGACAACACTGCTCTAAACGCTTATTTTAGCCTGTCAGAATTGCATGTTCCAGACTGATTATTACCATTTTTTCCAATGATTTTTCATGAAATCCCTCTGACAGCAAAGCGTTGGTAATGAAATATCCTGACAATGTTGTCGGAGGACAAGAGGGTGCAGCTCCTGCAGGTAAAGGGCGTTGGTTTCACCTCAGGAAAAATTGCAATCTCCGATTGGTCAGTTGCTGACAAACTTACTGAATTGATTGACAGGTTGCATCACATTTTTGCAGTGGTTCATGTAAATATTTTACAAACTTTTACATCACTATCAGACTTGCCTTCCATGTCTATTACCAGTACATAGGATTTCATGGTTATGTGCAGGCTGAGACACCCCCTGCAAGAACATTGCAATATTTCTGCAGGAATAAGAGTTTCATGTAATGAAATTCATGTATGTAAAGATATATAAAATACTAGTTGCGTGAACCGCTATGAATTTTTTGAGACGCGATGGCTTTGATGTTGGCTGCACTTCTTTAAGCCATTAGATTGTAAGTCAGGTCAAAAAATAATATTTCTTCTAAATGATTTCATTCAAATATCTCTGTACTATTGTTCTTATTCTTTCTGAGGAACCCCACAGCTAAAACGGTGGAATGTCACTTTAAAGACAGTGAAAAATATGGTTTTGTGCAGCAAGCTTTAATCTTTAAATGGAATTCATGATAATCTGTTACTACCTGACTTTTTTTCTTTTCCTCCTCTTTTTTTTGGTAAGTTAAAAAAAACAAGCTGCGACTTAACACCCCCCCACACACACACACACACACACACACACACACACACACACACACATACACACACTCCTTACAGCTCCCTCTGTGTATCAGAGTTCTCAGACGTGTGTGTGCTTGCCCAACCAACCAAGTCTTGGGACAGTCAGACTCTTGAAACACACACACACACACACACACAATGCCCCCCTCTCTTATTTCTTCTGGAGCTCTGAACCAGATCGTCCTGGCATGCGTCCATCCCTGCCTGAGGGGGGCCCCTCCTGCTGAGGCCACGGTCCCACAAACACTCGGATGGTCTGGGTCTTTATCCTCTCCATCTGTGAGGTTGTGTTCTGCAGGTACCTGTCTGGTGACACAGCCAAGTGGAGACTACAAGATTAGACTAACTGATAAGACGGTAATAATTCTCCATTATCTGACTGAAGGTAATCTGTACTCCAGCGTACTTGAACAACAACAACCTGCAAGAAATGGACACGCTCATAAATAAATCTATTGGAGAAAATCAGGATAACATTATACTGCAGAGTTTCAGCCACAACAACAAAGAGCACAAGCAGTAATTTTTAGTTGAGTAAGAAAACCCAAGTAGACAAACTGTTATAGTACAACAGACAATAGCAACTGCACAGAACTCAATTAATTGCAACATAAAGTGCGTCACGAAGACACGCAGCAAAGCCCTCAAACAACTTATAAGTATTACAACACAACAGCAAACTCAAACAAACAGAAGGACACTTCAGAGCAGAACAAAATCTAACATTTTCTGCAAACTGTTTCCTGCGTAATGTCATAAAAAGAATGTAATCATATTCAGTCCATGCAGCACCTTACTTGTACTCTTGTGCATTTTTGCATTAGAGTAGTTTTGCTTCTGCATAAACTTTAATCAGGATTTTAGTGTGTGTTATTGTCCAGCTTACTCGTGACTACTTGACTTATGCAACGTTTTGCACGAGACTTATTCGAATTTTAATGAGTTTTGCATTGCTATAGGTAGATAACTACAACAGGTACAACATGACACTGATAATTACATGTTTTGACAGAGTTAATGATAACGTAACAAACATGGGCTATTTTTTATAGTAAGCTGTCACTGCTATATTCCAAGTGTTTTTGTACAACTTTGTAATGGAATTTAAGTGTTTCTTTCATGAAAATATATTTTTTTAATCATTTAAACGGTTTTAATATCTAATGATAACTGAACAAAATCACTCAAGTTTTGTTTTGTTTCACTTTGACGCATATTTCATCATTATAAAAATATAAATTTTATTTTCTGTGGAGCTCTTTTTGGATTCAGTTACAACAGCCGAGGGAGGGTAGCGCGTTTCTCGGAGCAGCGGTGGGCGGCAACAGCCCCGAGGAGGTGAGTTTCTATTGGTTGGTGGCTGTTACTAGTAGGCGGAGCCAGGAGGGAACAAATACGCTGCGCTCGTGCGAGTCAGACAACAATCGTATCAGTGTTCGAGCTACTACTTTCCTAGTGCCAATATCGGGTGGAAAAAAAAGAGAAACACAAACGACTCAGTTTAATCTTCACGACGGAAGTGGTTTCTATTTTATTTTGTAATTCATCGCTTCTCTGAGTGACTTTAGAGGTTCGGAGGGGGAGACGAAGCCATGGATGTGGTGCTCCTGGTGTGCTTGGCGCTGACAGTCGGAGCGTGGTTCGCCTCCGCGGAGAGACACAGCGTCTACTGGAACGGAACAAACACCAAGTAAGGACCACTCTACTCTTATTAAAAATTAATTCACTTCAGCCTAAAAAAGTATCTAACTTGTAAATTGTTTAACTCGCCGCGTTTGGGTCAGCCAGGATGCTCTTTCTCCTAAAGCGAGCATCATAACTTAACATTATTTTCACACATGCAAGCTAGCACTGCCTGCTCGTTATTAAGTTTTATATTTTGTTCAAGTGAGGTGAGGAGACAGGATTATTTGTAGTCCATTTAAACTACTTACATCTTTGACATCGGTGTTGGAACAGGGGGGGTTCAAAGTTGGGGGTCGGGGCCCCACTGTGGGTCATGAAACATCAAGTGAGGGTCCCCAGATAATGTCCAGAAATCAAATTAAATTTAAGAAGAAGAAAAAAAAAGAAAGCAAATTGAATATTTTTATCACAATTATTACAAAGATAAATACAAGTTATTTTTAAGTTTGCATACATGGATATATTTAATATCACAAGCATCTGCAACTGTTATTGTGCAGGTCAAAAGCAGAAAAGTTCAAGAACCACTGTTAGATTGCAAGGGGAAGCCTAGCAGATGGACAGATCCATCACTATATTTAACCACAACTCACACACACGCAGACATACTCTAGTAGTAGAAAATAGACTGACGAGTATTAACATGTCCCGATTTCTCTGCGGGGTCTGCACCTGCGTGTGTGTCATAAAAAGGTGTGTTTATTAGCCAATAATTGCTTAATATGCTTCTATCAAAATGGAGCGTTTGTAAAGAGTGTTTGTTTTTTTTTCATGAGAGAGAACAGATATCCAGAAGGGAGGACAGGGGCCACGCAGTGCTGATGATTTAGTTTTGAGGTCAGAAATGTAATGCTATCCGGCCACTCAGTGGGATCGATGGAGCTTGACATATCGCAGCACGATTTATTGAGCTTTTAGCGTGTGTTTCTGCTTGTGCGTACGTGTGTGTCATTTTAGTGTCTATTACTTTTGAGCTGAAACAGAAGGATGGTCCACATGCTTATATTATTCTTTTTTTTATGGTCGATTAAAACCTGTCACCCAGAGGCAGAAAAAGGGCAAAGCTGTTATGGACTTTTAGTCTTATGTCTTGATTACATTACTGCTCTACTAATTGTCCTTTAACCAATGACAATAAGACGGGAGGTTAAAAAGAGAAAACAATAGCTGTGATAACAAAGTCCATGCTCAATAATCCAGGTATACAATCCAACATTTTTCAGTCAGGTCATCTGGACAGTTTCTTTTTTTTGTTCTGAACGTTTCGCCTTCGATCCAGAAGGCTTCATCAGTCAAGGAAACGCACAACAAAACTGATTAGCCGTGATAATTGGATGTGAAGTGTAGCCGAAAACCCTAACAGTGAGCAGTGTTTGTGTCATTAGTGAGGCCATGCGTGATTCAAACACCTGAGTTGTACACCTGAGTCACCACAGACAGGTGATGGTGGTGGTGGTGGTGGTGGTGGTGTCTGGCTCAGGTGAGAGACCACAAGGCAAGTTCAGAGAGAAACTGGAGCTCCAAGCAGACAGATAAGGAAGTGGTGTCAGAAAGAGGGAACACAAAGACAGATTCTCATGTGCTGCCTCTAATCCGACCCTGGACTACTTCTGCTGTCAAATGGGAGTTCATCCATCCATCCATTATCTTTACCCATCCATCCATCCATTATCTTTACCCGCTTATTCCATTTTGGGTCACGGGGGTCGCTGGTGCCCATGTCCAGCAATCACTGTGCGAGGGGCGGGGTACACCCTGGACGGGTCGCAAGTCCATCACAGGGCCAAATAGGAGTTGCATAACCTAAATAAAAAAACATAGAATAACTAATCCCTTGTACTGTGGTTAAACATAGACCCTGACACACATAAACAAACATAAACTCAACGCAGTATTAACTTTTCACACATGGGAGCCTGTTGAGGTTCCATGTACAACATGCCGCCTGATTCATGTAATTGTTCTCTTCGTACCTTCGCTTCCTCTCCCACCATCCCCTTTGTCAGATTTAGTGGATTATGTAGATCGGTCTGAAGTCTCTGGGCGATAATTGATGCTAATTGATTCTTGGTCTGTTTGTGGACCTGCAGTGATTTATCTTCCAGGAGGAGGACAGTGACCAGATGGCAGCAGTGTGCTCCTTCGTGTTCTGTGGAGTCGTGTCTTTAAAACGGTCTCTCGCAGCGCCGCTGATTACGGCTCAATCTGGGCACAGATTGGGTACACTGGCTGTGCACTACTTTCTTCCATGACAGGTGGAGTCTGGTCCCGTCTTGTTGTTCCACTGCGTGTCTAGGCGTGTGTAGATTTATTAGCGTTCTATGAGGGTGAGGTTGAACTTGGGCTCCCATTAACTGGTCTTTTAACTGGGAGCAGTCTTGTTGTTGTTTTGGACCTGACGGCACGTGAGCGTGTCTTTTAATTGCTTGTGCGCGTTTTCACGTCAGAGTTTTGAACAGGGAGTGGTTGGTGCCTTAAGGCAGCCTTACCGAGACATGATAAATGTGTGACTCACACTTACACTCTCTGACGGGGGGAGGCTTGAGGGAGCATGGGGGTGTTAATATTAGCTACAGACAGCATTCCTCCCTACTGTTACTATACTCAACTCTGTCAGCTGTGCATGCAGGAGTGTGTTCCTCCCTCTGTACCTGTCTGTTCCTCTCCCATCTTCCCAAACAGCTGGGTCTCCTCCCAGGACTGACCGCGGGCCCTCGGCACTTTGTCTTGTTTCTTATTAATTCAACCAAGATCTCATCCTTGGATGCTATTAACACCCCTTCGCCTTATCTCTGTTATAAGGCGGTCTTCATCCATCATCTGTAGCCTGGGTCTATGTCCCGGGCCTCCAGTGTGTCAGCAGAGATCTTTTAATCTGGAGTTTGGTGTAATACAATATTCTGCCTATGTGAAGCAGCCAGTGCCTGCCTCTACATGCTTCTTACCCCTGAGATTGAGTCTGACGGGAAGGTGGTCGACGTCTGCCCCACCTGTTATACATTTTGTACATCTTGTTCCTGCTCTGTTTGTTTTTTTTTAACTTTTTGTTCATAGTCCCTTCTTCAGCCCATATTTAGTTCCCTAATCTCACTAGAATGAGAACACACAATACTAAGGGGCAGATTACAGTGAGTTTGTAATCTGACCCACAGACACAAAACCATCACTCTGCTGCCCTCGCTGTGTAGATGATCTAATATTTTGTGATGTAACCACGGTTCTTTTAGCAGCAGCCATAATCTTTCTGATACAATCCATGGAAATAACGTCCATTCAGCTTTCCCAATCCTAATCAGAGGGCTTTTTGAGTGTCCCCTGCTGATTTCACTGTCCTCTTCAGATTAATCCATCCTTCATGCTTGTCTGTGCTCACCTTCACCTGGTGTAGGGGTGTAGTCAGTACAAGTTGTTTCTGCTCCGTGGACATCACCATCCCTCATCATGGTATCCAAGAACCTCATGTTTTTCTCCGCTCTTCCTCTCGCCTCCTTATCTCGGGTCCAGACTTCCTCCCCCACCCTCCCCTCTCCTTCTATCAACACCCCCTTTTTTCTCACAGACCTTTCTCTGTTTTGTCCCCCCGTAGTTTTCCACCAGAAGGAAACTGAACATTGTAGAGGCCTGCTTTTACCCTAAATTGCTCTCAAAGTGTGTGCATGTGAAGAGTGTGGACACGGCTCATTCATAACATTTCATGCATACTTTGGGATTGGTGTCCACTAGCAGCTCCCCGTCGCCCCCTGAAGGTGATAGTGGGAATAGAAGTAATGCTTTTTAAAATTATTATAATTTAAGTTTATTTAAATGCATTTTGTTGGTTTCCGTTAGACAGTCAAACAGACTAATCCTTTGCAACCACCCTCACAGCATATTAAACCAGATACCATTTGGTCTTTTTATTTTTATTGCTCACAAACTGGGAGGCTCAAGAAAGGGGACCGGGTGAAAAGATTTTCGTGGGAGAAGGGTGAGGTGAAGAAAGACGTTTGCTTTTAGAAATTAGCCTGAATGAAGAGCTGCAGTTTATTATGTCAGCCTGCAGAGATGGGACAAAACAAGATGGAGCGGGGTGGGGGGGTCGTGGACTAATAAAAGCAAGGCAGACTGAGGGAGGGGAGTGAAGACAGTGATGGATGAAGAAGGGGTAAATGAAGAAGTTCAGAATTGAAATAATGAAACGTTTTTTATTGGTAGTTGGTCTCATCTCGAGTGTTTTCATAATGTCGCTTCCAAACTGCAGAGTTATGATTTGGGTTTTCAACGACACCAGAAGCAGCAGAGGCTGAATTCCCTTTTGTTCAATCCCACTGGAAGCTCATAAAGAAAGACTTCAGAGTATTTTAGACTGACTATAATATGAGCAGCTAAAAACCCATTAGACCTTCTGTCAGGTCCTTGGCCCATGTGAGACGAGGTGTGAATCTGTCATACCGCAGCAAATTAATAGGATATTAAGCTTAAACCTTGTAGTAAAAAAGTGTGATAGAATAGGATTAGAGATCCAATGGGATCCAAACCGCAGCCCCCTCTGTTGTGACATTCCAGAGCTTGCACACTTTCCTTTGATTACCTGCAACAAATGGAGGAGGGGGCGGGGAGTGCACTTGTTTTGGTGTTTAAGTGGTGCTCACTCGCTGCTTGCTTGCATGTGTGTTGAAGCATTTATCATCAGCCGTGACTCGGATTCTAGCGTCTGAGCAGTTGCGACGCTCAACTCTGACCTCTCGACCCGACCGCCGGTTCTGAAAGTCCTCCCTCGACAGAGTAACAAAGCAGACGTTCCTGTGTCAGCTGTTCGACCGAGCTTCACGGGCCGAACGGATGGAGGCGTAGAAAGAAAGGAGAGCAAAAAGAGACGATGACGAGACTTCAAAGCTTCCAGTGAGAGGAGAGGAATGTGTTGAAATGGAGTCGCCTCCTGTAATAACCACCAGCGCTTCCAACCTCACACACGCTGACACAAAAACTGGAGACGCTCTGTGGTGAGAAATGACCTGCAGAGGGGAACAAAGACAGCAGCCTCCCACCCTCGCTGTTTACCTACACCTTTATCCTACAAACACAACCTCACTGGAGACTCCACAGGAACCCTGACAAGCAGATGTTCATAAGCCTGAGGCTCGAGACGCCCTGAATAAAGCTCTCCAGAAAATCTCATCCAAACACACACAGAAACTAGTGCAGGGGAAGATGTGTGTAAAGTAGGTTTGCAACAACTCGTACGTCTGCCCCTGGATCTCACAAAGGACATAGCTATCACATTTATGTGACTCTCACTGTCCTGAGAAATGTCAGTCCGAGGTGAGCGCAGACGCAGGGAGACGCAAGTGTGGAGAGCGCAGGAAAAGTGTGAGGAAGATATGAAGGGACTGTTAATGTTTCTTTACTTGTGGTCAAAATAAATACATCGTTGAGATATTTTTAAAGGTGTTTCCTTGGAAAGATTTTTACGACACGCTAAGAAAAAAACTAAAAGCCAAAAAATTATGAGAATAAAGTCGAATGAAGTCTTAATATTATGAGAATAAAGTCATACACAAGTTTTTTTAGGGTTTTTTTTATACAGCTGTCGTTATTTTTTTCCACTAGTCGGATCCACAATGCGACCTGTCAATCAATTCAGTAGGCGTGTCAACAAATGACCAATCCGAAGCTAAATGAGTCGTAATATTATCTGAACTCAGACACGATAAATCAGAGTTTATTGCATTTTAACTGGTAAATTGAAGATTGTTTGTTCAACTTTGTTGTCATTGACGCTCTTACTCAAAACGTGTTCCAATACTGCCGCCTGCCGTAGTGTTTTGTATGCGATGCAGATACGTGACGTCATTACGTCATGACTTTCATTTTTGTTTCCATTTGGAAAGTGGCGCTCAGTGAGCGAAATTGTGTGCGTGTAGCGCCGTTAGAGGTTTTCAATAAATGTGCCAGAAAGAGGTTGAAGAGACCCAGCGGCTCACTTGTAGGAGCGTTTAGCTTCGGATTGGTCATTTGCTGACACGCCTACTGGATTGATTGACAGGTCGCGTCGTGGATCGGACTCGTGTGGGGAAAAAAAAAAAGAATGAGAGGTGTAAAAAAAATAAAAATAAATAAGTAAATCTCGTATGACTTTATTCTCGTAATTTTATGGCTTTTTTTTTTCTCTTAGCGTGGCCCTAAAGCTCCGTCGTAGATTTTGAACAATTAATATCTTCGAAATGTTATTTAAAGGGCTATCTATAGCATGTGAGATGCTAACTATTATACTATATTATACTATTATAAACATTCCACAGAACTTGATTTTAAAGGGATTTAAACCATTGCTTGAAGATATGACAGAAAAGACAAACTGGCATGGCTGAGAAGATGCTGTTTAACCACTGAACACCTTCACACATTAGTCAAGCTACAGCTCCGTGGGGGTTTAGGCCGAGGAGTTGAAGGGGCCCTGTAGCCTTCAGGCTTTCTGTCTTTAGGGAGGCAAAGGGTATAATTACACCCTATTCGTTTCACCTCCCCTCCTTTTCCACAAAACACATTGGCCCCAGACCCCTAACAGCTTTTAATTAGCCAGACCCATCGGAGGAGAGGAGGAGGGGAACAGAGAAGGATAAAAAGGCAGTTTTTCTTAAAAGTGCGAGCCGTGAATGAAATCGGTAACAGAGTCTCAGTGTTTTGTTGGCTTTTGACAAGCCTGTGTTTTCATGTAGTGTGTAGGCCAGACCGCTAACAAGGGCGCAGTGTGGGAAAAAGGTGTAGCCCACACTGTTTAAGGCTATTCTTCACTTCTGAGGGAACCACTCGAGAGCTCCAAACGTCTTGTTTTGCTCCAACCCTGTTATTACAGTCTGGACTGAAGAAAGCAGTAGAGGGGGAAACGAGACGGGATAGGAGATTATTTGGCCAATTAAGCTTCTACAGATGCAACTCTTCTCTTCTTACGGAGGAACACGTATTTACACACACCTGTGCAAAACACACCAATCAAGTTTTCTTTTTACACAGAGAAAGCACTGATTATAGCAGAGCGATCGGCCTGTTAGCCTCGGATAACAAGCGCTAACAAAGCATGTTTTGACAGGTACGTTAGCACTAACCAGGAGGAGGAGGAAGGAAGGAGGGGTTAGAGGCCTTTACACGGAGCCTGCGTGTCTGTGAATTGGTCTGGGGGTCCTGACAGGAGCCACAACAACAGGACGCTAAGGAAGGGGATGGCGGTGGTGGGGGAGGGGGGTCAGGGCCAGCACGTCTCAAGCTTTGATGACACACACCGTCTTTTCACAGCGGGCTGAATAAACAGCAGCAGATGCACAGGAGCTGCTTTCTTGTCACTTTCTCTAAGAACAAATTAAACAAGCAACCAGAAGCTGCCCCTGAGCTGCTCAAGTCCTGATTTGATTTGAGGAGTAGAACATGTTGCCCCCAAGGATGTAATGAAAGCAACACACAAATAAAAACATCTCTCTTCACCTTCTGGCTGTTGGCAGATCCCCCCACAGAAGAAGAAACACAAATCACACAGCTGCACGTTGCATTCATGGCCTCACCTGCATCTGATTTATTATAAAGACAAGAACACTGGCAAGTTTGTCACATTTTTACTCATAAACTAGTTTCCATCCATCCATTATCTTTACCCGCTTCTTCTTTTTCGGGTTGCGGGGGTCAGTGTTGCCAGATAGAGTGGAGGTTTTCCAGCCCAAAAATCTGTTAAAAACTGCCAAATCACACAAAACCCACCTAATCAATATATTATTTGGACTGTTTAAGCATGAACGCACATCAGTACACACACACAATACCCCCCACCCCTGTAAAGATTTATTGGTGTTTATATGTTCATCGATGTGATTAATCAAAATCAGTTAAATGTGAATGTTCAGGATCTGGTTATTATAGACACAAATTAAATGTTCAATATGAATATTGCTATATTTATCATCACAGTAATAGTGTTATACACATTAGTTGTAAGCACTCAAAAAATAAATATGTTGGTTTAGGGCTTACCTTAAATCTAAACATTTAAGGAATAAACATTTTTAATAATCACGTTAAAAGTTTTATAAATGTTGTCTTTGGTGTCTATTTGTTTTCCAAATATATTAGTGTGTGTGAATGACGGGGATTAACATAAAACACTTTGTAGAACGGTGCTTTATGAAGTTCAGTCCATTTCCTTGTATTAGTTGACCGGCAGTTCTGACACATTCAATATGGCGGACGCTCTGACGTACCGCTGCTCGCTCAACGAGGTGTTTACTAAAACTAAAACTTTGTGCCGCCTCACCAGTTCTCTGTTGTGAACACCGTGGCAGATGACAATAGCCAATCAGTGATGAAGAAAGGTCTGGGGAGCTTTGAACCAGTAATGATGAATGATTGTTTGAAATGTGTTTTGGTTAATTCAAAAAAGGCCGATCTGACTCCAAATCTGCCCAAATTATCCCCACCCCAAGTAATTTTTACCCACAAAATCAGAATGAAAACTGCCCAATCTGGCAACACAGGCCGGGGTCACAGGTGCCCATATCCAGCTGTCACTGTGCAGGAAGCAGGGGACACCCTGGGCAGGTCAGAAGTCCATCACAGGGACATCAAACTATTTTTCTTCCTCTTAATCTGTTCCCAAAGCTTCTTAATAATGACGAAAAACTGATACTGCATGGGATTTGTGCTGATCTACGTTATTGGGCCAAGGGAAGGATAGGAAGTGAACAAAGAGGAGAACGGAAGGCTTGCAACGAACAATAAAAGTACAGATGAAAAGAGGGAAGCTAGAGTGAGTGTCTCCACCTCTGCTGTCCACATCTTTAGTGAAATTAGAGTGAAATGCAAGGAGCAAAACAGCCTCGCTGCAAAGAAGGGGTTCAGAACAGACTGACAAGACGTGTAGGTGAGGAAACTAATCTGACAGCAACTAAAAATAGTTTAAAATGAGAAAACCGAGATTTACATGTCATGAGTCATGATTATATTGTTTGGGTGAGCTGAGCTGTCATCTACAGTCTCATTTACCTGATAGCAGGTGAGTTTCTGCATGAGGGGGAAAGAGTGAGACAGGTGTTGTGGTGGTGCATGTCGAGGAGCTTCAGCTCTCCTGTCTAAAAACAGCAGAAACGAGTCCAGCCTGATCGGGCTCTTTCTAATTCTGCTACAAAGATGAGCTGATGCAGGTGAACCGAAACCTGAGTGTCGTCGCGTGATGTCTGTCCGTTTCTCTGAAAACTTTTTTTTTTTTAACTCAGATGTGTGGCACACTTAGGAAACGATACACTTTCTACAATCAGAGCATTAAAAAAAATTCCTCTCTGGATGTGATTAGTCGCTGACCTCCTGTTTTTCTTTCTGCCTGCAGCTTCCAAGAAGATGACTACACGGTGAAAGTGCGCATTAATGACTATCTGGACATCATCTGCCCCCACTACACCCATGGAGAGGTGTCGTCGCACTCAGCCGAGCGCTACGTGCTGTACATGGTGGAGAGGGAGGACTACGAGGTGTGTAAGCCTCACTCCTTCGATCAGCTCCGTTGGGAATGCTCACGCCCCTTCGCTCCCCACGCGCCGGAGAAATTCTCGGAGAAATTCCAGCGCTACACGCCCTTCACCTTGGGGAACGAGTTCAAGCAGGGGGAGAGCTATTACTACATCTGTAAGTGTTATTAGCTTCTTCTTTCTTTTCTTTTTTTTTTTTAAAGCAATCTGCTGTGGTCTTTTAAGTTGTTTGATGACTGAACTTGGTTCTTTTGACACATTTTTCAGCCAAACCACTGCATCATCATGGAAAGGAATGTCTGAGGCTGAGAGTGGACGTTGTTGGACATAAAGGATCTGCAAAGACTCAATCAGACGAAGCCAAGACAGAGGAAACGAAAAAAGACGAAAGAAAAGCTACGTTTTTTGCCGCTGGAGGAGTTCACAACCCCTCCAACCGACTCCCAGCAGGTAAGAAACGTTTTTTTATATAATATATATCAGTCACATCCAACACAGTGTACATCTAAGCGAGGCTCAGCTGGGTGTTTTATCATTCCTGAGTGATGAAATGGAGCGCTGACCGTCATTCTCTGTTTCGTCTCTCAGATGATCCTGCTGTGATGGAGCCAAACGTCCAGAGGAGCATCGGCAGCTCTGCAGCACAGCTGGCGTCTTTGTCCTTATTCACCATCATCCCAGTTTTATTAACCACCATGCTGCACTGAAGCCCAGAGACATTTCTAAACCAATGCGGGTTATTGGGACATTTTTTTTACAAGACTCTTTATAAATATATATATATATGAGCATAGACGGTTTGTGTTGTTCAGTGTGTGTTTGATGTGTTGGTGTGAATGTGGAGTGTGGATCGCTCCAAAAAAAAAAACAAAGAGAGAGGACCTCAAAAATGTTTTGTTTTTTTCTAACTTTCTTTCCATAAATTTTGAGGATGAAAATTCTCAGTTTTGAACGGTTTAAGAATCTTTATTCAGTCGTTGTGACCAGAAGTTAGGAGTGAGATTAACGTCACATCATCATAACCTGTGTTCAGATGTTCATATCAGTGGTACAGCTGTGCTTTGTCACCAAACACTCGTTTTTCTTCCTCTACATGTAGAGAAATTATTGTTTTTTTGTGTATGTTTTGTTGGTAAAAGTGGTAAACCTAATATAGGATGTTTGATGTTTGTCATGTGAAGCACTCGGCTCCTGGTTGGATCTTTAGAGAAATGGAAAACAATCTAAATTTTTCTCATTTGGCTGGACGAACTTGAATAAGATGCTCATGCTGATGAGATAAAAACTCTCAAACGAAATTTTGAGCTTTTAATTTGGTATTTAAAATTGGAAATGTTTGCATTTTGTCCTTGAGAAGTCCTCATCACAAGAGAGACTGAAGAGCTCCACGGTCGAGATGGTTTTATGGTACACTGGTTGTTAGCGAACATCATCGTTTAAATGAAGGGGCTTCCCACCATCTGTTTGTTTGTTTCCTCCTTGAACATGCTTGACCTGTTTTGTAAATTTATACATAAAGGAAACTATAAGGCACTGCTTTAAGATGTGAAAAAATCTTTGGTAAAATTAAAAGTGTTATGAAATTGATAAAAGTGTGTGTGTGTTTTTATCAGCTGTTGTGAAATGTCCATATTTTGGGATGATGAGGAGCCATGAGATCATGAAGAAGTTGATGGATGACAAACTGTTTGGCCGAAGCCGTGATGAGATCGTACCGGCACACTCTCCCAAGTTTCCACCCTTGCGTCTTTTCCGACCCCAGTTTTCTCATCCCGTCTCCTCTTTCATCTCTGCTGTACGCCGTGACCCGACTTTACATTTCACGTCTCCAAACTAAACAGAAGAACGAAGAGGGGCAGGAGGAAAGCGGGCCCACAAGCAAACTGATCATTCTGTGTGAAAGTGTAACTTTTGTGTCCTTGCTCTCATTTTTCTGCGCCTCACATCCTCCCACACAGCTGGACGGGGTGCACAAACGTCCGTGCGTGCAAACCTCGGAGCTCACTGAAAACTGTTAAAAATCACCAGTCTCTGTAAAACCACACAGCATACAGTCTCGAGCTCAGTTCATAAAGCAGAGCTGTTGGTTTTTCCACAATAACGTCAGAGCTTACATTGACGGCAGCCTCCAAAATCACCGTGGGGTCGAAACGGGACAACTACGGGTCGACAGACCAAATGTTGGTTTTCATGTCTCGGTTTAACACGTCTCATCTAAAAACTGATATTAAATGTCCTGAAATAATAACGTAGGCTTGGAAAATGCATTTAGAGCCATTTCAAATGTAAACGTAGGAGCCAAAAGTTAACAACATAGACCAGGCTATTCATCTAAACTGCTCAGGGGGCCACGGTTTCTGAGAGTCAACAGCTCTTTTGTAATTAAACTACTGTACAAAATAACTGTGGGAGTAAAACAAATTTTGGAACCATATTTTAATAACTGATAAAAAGTTGTACTTCAGACTTTAGCTGGAACAAATAAATGAGCCGGTAGTGAAACGCAGCCGCGTGTGAGCCTTGTTCTGGTTCTTGTCAAATCTTGTACAAGTCCAAAAGTATTGATTACGTGAAAATGTCCTCCAAACTTTAGAGCCACAGTAACTAAATACTGAGGTTTTAGATGTTTTTCTTTGCTCAGAGGAAATAATGGTAAATGGACTGTACTTAACTTCAAGACACTCGTGCTTTACACTACAATCTGTCCTCTTACCCATTCAGCACTCTACTAGAAATGTGCAAAGAATAATCAGAGCTTTATCACATTCATACACTGATGGGACACACATCAGAGGCAATGAGGGGTTCAGTGTCTTGCCCAGGGACACTTTGGCATGTGACTGCTGGTGGAATTGAACCCCCAACTCTTGCATTGGAGGACGACTGCTCTAACCGCTCAGCCACAGCCGCCCTAGTAAGAATAATACAAGAATAAAAATAAAATAAATAATAAGTAAATAATAATAATAGAAATAATAATAAATAATAAAATAACTTTTAAAAAATCAATCAAAAATTAACAACAAATGCGAAACTTTTTGTTTCCTGTCTGCAGCAATCAATAGGTGAGAGGCGGGGTGCACATTAAACTGGTTCAGCTCATGCAGATGCACACTTAAGGTGACCCAGAGGTTAAACAAGGCAAGCCTGTGATTGGTAGGTCGCCGGTTCAACTCCCCAGACTGACAACGTCAAAATGTGGGGAAGGTGAAGCAGCCTTGTTTGCCTCACTTTGGGCCCTTGAGCAAGGTACTTAACCTCCACCATCTGCTCTCCGGGGTGCCCCAGATGGCAGCTCTTTGCTCCACACAGAGGGCTGTGGTAGCTCGGTGGTCTGCGGTTGCAACAGAAAGAGCATCTGGTGTAAAAACAATTGCCAAGTCTTCAAGTGAGTTAGTTCGTTGTGGTGAACCCTGAAGAAACGAGCAGCCAAGAAGAAAAGGAAGAAGAAGTAGATACGTTTTTTGGTCTAAAAAATATACTAATATATGATAATAATGTAATAATAATTATGTGTATCTTCTAAAAGTGTCTTATTTTCCTGAAAGTTTTTGTTGTTGTTGTTGTTGTTGTGGACATGTTGCCACTCAAATTAATCGTTAATCATTTGATCCATTAAGTACAGAACCAAAACTCCATCACATTTTTTTTTTTTTTGCTTCGGTAAAAATGTTGATGAAAATATGTTGCTGACATCAAACAAAAAGATAATACACTTAAAAATAATAATAATAAAATAAAAACCTAGAAATTTCCCTGTTAGATGGTGTGTTTTACTTTTGAAAATAAAATTTACAAGCAGTTTAAGAGCTTTAACTTTTTATACATGGATAATTCATAGATTGGTCATTCCTCTGAAAATGGTCAAATACTGGATTGAAGCTTAGTGAAAAAGCAGACAAAGTCTAAAAACCGAACACTCAAAGGCCTTCAGAACTCCTGAAAAACTACTGGACAAGACCAATTTAAAAGAAAATGAGGACTGTAGACTCAAAGCACTTTACTTTACACCTCAACCTGTGCCCTCATTTACGCATTCATGCAGCACTCTCCTAGATCTGTACAGAGAATCAGTGCTTTATCACATTCATACACTGATGGGACACATCGGAGGCATTTAGGAGTTCAGTGTCTTGCCCAGGGACACTTCTGCATGACTGCTGGTGGAATCCAACCCCCAACTCTCTCATTGGAGGGTCTCTCAGCCACAGCCACCCATCCAAGAAAGTCTGACTTTTTGGGAGGACACTAAACAGTGATGTGATATCTCGAGACTTTTAGTTTGAAAGTTAATTTTAGAGCATAAACATGTTTTTAATGTTGAAAACAGTACTTGTTCACTTTTGAAACGTTTGTCTTTTTTTTTTTTTTCAATCTTAACTAGTTTTGCTAGTTAAAAAGAAAAGTTTAATCGCTAAATATCTTGTTGTTGGCTTTTTTTCTGTGTTTAGTAAGTAAAAACATTTATACAAGTTTTAATTTCTAAAAAAGCTACATTTTGTCATAGGAATCAACTCCATTATTCTGCTGACTGGCCCTTTAAATTTTATCAACTGGATGACGTAACTTCAGACGATATGTATCGTTTCAGCATCTCATTGGTCAAATACTCCCCGCCTACTTTGTGTTGTAGCCAATCAGAAGGCAAAAATGCTAAGCACATTGATTGCAAATACGGAAATACCGGGTGGATATCTTTGTCGTTGTTTTTGCAGCGTTTTCTTTCGTCTAATTTAACATTTTGTGGTAAAAGTAGACATATAACGCTTACTATATAAGCGGGAAGTGCATCGGCATATTTCCTTCGCTATATGGATTTAATACAACTTCTGTCATGGGCTTGCATTGTGTTCACAGTCGGGATGTTCTCGACTGGATTGTAAGTTTTTTAATTGTTTAGATTGAGGTTTAATTTTCTGGTTTGTTGTTGCTCCACTTGGTTTGAATTTAAAAGAGATGCGATATCTAAATTCTATAAAGAAGGGCGAGGGGAAAATAACTCATTTTTGTGTGTGTTTCTCTTTAATCTGTTTATCTTGTGTTTCTAGAACCGACCTAAAAAAAATGCGAGAATCAAAAAGTACAGAAAACATCCAGTTTCTCCCCTTCCTCACCACATGTCTAAAGTAACTTCTTGTTTTTAATATATATCAATCAGCAGCCTTGTTGACATCTTGGTCTGCACATCTAATTCTCTTGTTTCCATAGTAACCTAGGTTGGTTGTTTTATGGGATTCTGAAGTGGGATCAGACAATCATGTTGGTCAACATTATTGGAGCTCTGCTCCAAATCCTCTACATCGTCATGTACTTCCTGTACACGAAGCACAAGGTAAACCTGGAGTGGCCTGCTGACCTGCAAGTAGCTCACTTGATCACACGTGACTTTCTTTGTCTCTGTTGTTGTTTGTTGCAGAGGCTCGTGGTGATCCAGGTTCTTGCTGCAGGAGTGGTGTTGCTGTGTGGATGGTTATACTTCAATAATTTTCTCACCGACAGAGAGACTCTGCTCAGCCAGCTCGGACTCACTTGCAGCGTGGTCACCATCAGCATGTACCTGTCGCCACTCTTCGACCTGGTATATGAAATAAACACACACACACACACACACACACACATACACACACACACACACACACAGACAGAGCAGAAAGAGAATCAGCTGAACTTGAGTGACTTGAAACCCCACTGTTTTTTTTTGTTTTGTTTTGTTTTTTTAAGAAAATCTTATCTAAATATTATGCAAAGTCAAGTTCATTTTTATTAAAGTAACTCACAGGAAGCATTTTTTTTTTTCATTTACCCGCTATTTATCCAGGTAGTCTCATTGAGCCACGAGAACTCATTTTCAAGAGAGACCTGTTTAGGGAGCAGATGGGGGTTAAGGACCTTGCTCATGTGCCCAGAGTGGGGCGAATGAGGGTGGGGGCAAGTATGGGTGCTTCACCTACCCCACCCACATTTTTTGATGTTGTCGGTACCGGGGCGTGAACCGGCGATCTTCCGATCACAGGCCCACCTCCTCTAACCTCTGCACCACCACTCCCCATGTGTGTCTGTGCAGAAAATTCCAACAATTTTGTGTTTTTGGGCCAGATTAAATATATTAAAAACAAACAAGCATACATAGACATGCATAATACATTCAGTAAATATAATATAATATACAGTAGTCCCTCGCTACTTCGCGGTTCGTTTTTTGCTTACTTGCTCTATCGTGGCTTTTCAAAATAAGATTGGACATGACACACAAATGGCTGATTGATGGATGAGCTGCACGATCTGCATGTTTTTTTTTTTTTTTATTATTTAAAATAAATTATTTTAAATAATTTAGCACCTCCTGTACCAGTGTGAAGTCCAAGCCGCAGGAGAAGCTTCTTCATGCGGCGTGACATATGTCCGCTCTGCATTGGAGAAGTGGGCGTGGCCAAGAGGCTGGCAGAGAGCAGCCAAGGCAGGGAACTGAAATCATGATGTTCTTTGCTCTTTTAGAGAGTTTAGTTTAGAAACATTGTTTAAAATATTGCAAGAGTGTGGTTATTCTTTACCGGCTTCAAATGTGAGATATTTTTAGAAACTAGGAGATTTATTCAAAATAAAGTCATCTTTTAAACCACAGATATTGTCTAAGAAATCTGCTCATTTGGATATTAATTAGTTGAAATCTATAATCAAAGCCACAAATGAATAGGTTACAAATATAACTTTTTATTTTTTGAATAACTCTTTTAAAGGAGTTTTCTATAGTTTATTATTATTATTATTATTATTTAGGTTTTTCTAGATGACCTGCATCTTGCCATTGATGAAGCAAAAAATGTGACCCATCATATGAAATTGGGAAAATTCACCTAAATTGTTTTGTAGTTTACCAACAGAAAGACTGGATTTGTACAACCTTCTTATTCAAGGTCAGAAGCAGTGGTATTACTGCTTATCTTTATCTCATTACAATTTGCGGGTTTTGGGGCCTACTTTAGGTGTTCAGAATATATATTTTTTCCGTGCACTCACAGTGATACAATGCTCATTGTCTTACTGCTGCACACCAGGGAGTTTTAAGATCTGTTTCAAAAGCCTTCTTTTAAGGTATTTTTCTACCGCACCACCACCTTTCTTAATTTTGTTATATTATGTTATGCCTTCAATGGCATAAATCTGTTTAATTTGATACACATTCTGTAAGGGAGCTTCTGGCTTTGTTATTATCAGTCTGAGCTCTTGGGCAACACACACAATCATTATATTGCTCCTTTAATAACTAATGTAATCACTTCTAAACAGTTAGAATGGCTTACCTCGTAATCTGAAACCTTCTAACTGTGGAGAAGTCAAATTTACAGCCACACTTGTGATGAACCATTCTGTTTACATGGGATTCAAACATCAGCCAATCAGATTCTACTATTAGTCTAGCTGCAGAAAATCTTCAGTCCGAACACCAATCCATCCATCCATCCATTATCTTTACCCGCTTATTCCATTTTGGGTCACGGGGGTCGCTGGTGCCCATGTCCAGCAATCACTGTGCGAGGGGCGGGGTACACCCTGGACGGGTCGCAAGTCCATCACAGGGCCACATAGAGACAAACGAGACAAACAACCATTCACTCTCTCACTCACACCTAGGGACAATTTAGAGTTGCCAATCGGCCTAACATGCATGTTTTTGGTCTGTGGGAGGAAACCGGAGCACCCGGAGAAAATCCACGCATGCACGGAGAGAACATGCAAACTCCACCCAGAAAGGCCCCTGGACCGGGATTTGAACCAAGGACCTGCTCGCTGAGAGGTAGCAGCTCTACCAGTTGCGCCACCGTGCTGCCCAGTCCGAACACAAAAATTATTATTATTTTTTATATTTTAGGATTTGGTTAGTCCTTTTTTTTCAGGCATGATTTAAAATGTTTTTTCTTTTTAGATTTACTAATTTAATGCTGTCTCAAGTGGGACCGCCTGTCCTGCCGCCTTTTCTGCCTATAAAAGAGTAAAAAGCACAGAAATGAGAGCTGATTTGACTTTCAAGTTAAGCTTTAAAATTGTGCAATTTTTCAGCAAAATAAAGGTGAAATATGAACAAAAGAGCACTTTTATTTATCAATAGTTCAGTTCAATTCAGTTCAAAAATACTTTATTAATCCCAAAGGGAAATTAAATGTTGTAACTCGTTATCCTCATTTCATTAAGAGATGTTATAGATGCTGATGGCTGTAGGCAGGAAGGATCTTTTGTAAAGGTCCGTCCCATAGCGGATCCGAAGAAAATGGCCACAGATGCTGTCCGATCTGTCCACCCAGACTTGGCTGGCCTCTCGGTTCCTTCAGGCAGCAGAACCGCCTGAGTGCCAGGCAGAACTCCTCCCAGAGCCATGGCCCCTCCTCCCAGCAGCCTGACGAGCTCCTCGTCACTACAGACAGCCGGCTGCAGGTGCCGGGGGACGATCCTGTCCTTCTGCTGTCACAAGCCGTGTTTTTCTGCCAGCTCCAGGATCTCAGTGGTCAGGCAATCGAGCACAGCCGGCAGGTAGACGGGAATGCGTCTACGGTGCCTCCTTTTCAACTCATTTCAGATTTGGGGCTATAGCTGCGATATTATTTGAGCTTGTAATTAAATAATAATAAATAATTGGGGAGAAATATAACTTTTTAAAGTAATGAAACGCTTAAAGAAAAATACTGCTGAAAGTTGAGTGTTTAAAGACATAATGGAGCAGATTTAACTAAAATAGTTCTTCAGTAACTTCGTGCACATGAACTCCGGTGAAGGACTCGAGCTCCTGTTTGCTGCTTCATATCATCATTGTTGGATCCTTCATCCTGTTTGTCACCTTTTTTCCATCTGACTCTGAGCTCTGCACTGACCTCGCTCGGCTTCCTGCCGTCCGTCTTCCTGTTATTCTGAGGTTCTGTCTGTTTGTTCCTTGCCACCTTGGTTACAATCATTTCTTTACGGTTTACATTATGAGAAGATGGCGCAAAATAAACCTAAACGTCAATTTTCTTAACGCTTGCAGTACTTTACATGAAAAGTGCTTTTAAATAAACTCCCCTGGTTTTAATCATTTTAGCTGCTGCTCCTGTCAGTAATGTTGAGATTTGTTACCAGTTAGATTCGGGTTCATGTGATCGTGAACACAGTCAGACTGACAGTTTTTCACATTTTAAACAAATATTTAAGGTATTTGAACAGTTTGAAAGACAAAACCAAGTTGAGAGGAATGCAATGGTAGTCAACTTTTACTTTGAAAGCAAAATACCTCATGAACCACTGAACAGATTTTATTGAAACCTTCAGAAGTAATCACTGGTTGTACACTTACAGCAGGCATCTCAGCTTATCAACTTTAGCCAACACAAAAATGAAAATAACTCGGTCCGTTTTAAACATATTGAGCTCAAACTTGGTGCGGTAGTAACTGACAGTCATTCACAGCGCATGCTTGAAGTGGGAGATTTGTGCATAAAATTGTTTTCAAGGTTTGACCAAATTGGTTACAACTCCAGAATTTTTCATCTTAAAATGATCTTGATCTGAACCTCTGGGATGAAAGGTGGCAGCTGATATTCATTCAACCTTTGTTTATACAGGTTAATCCCACTGAGCCTCAGGGACTCATTTATAAGAGACCTGATGTGCATGAGTATGGGTGACGTGTTCAGTGTTGATTAAAGATGATGTTAGCTAATAAGCTAGTTATCAAACGTCTGTTCAGAAACTTTTGTCAAACGTTGCTGGTATAAAATTTAAACAATTGC